TAGTTCTTAAAAGCTGAAGAATTCCAAAGGAACTCCGTTATTTTGACAGCAAAATACAACAAAGAATATCGTTTACGTGTAGCGTGCATAGATAGCGCGTCAATTCTCTCTCTCCCTCTCGCGCTGCGTGTGTGTGAAACAAAGTGATGGCGACTCAAAAGAGGGATAATAATAAATGAGTGCCAGTCGTTTGCGCATTAGCTCCGCCCACTACTGGAGAAACCGGCATATCTTATGCTTATTCTTAAAAGCTGAATAATTCTAAATGAACTGTTATTTTTACAGAAAAATACAACAAAGAATATCATTTACATGTAGCGCGTCAGCTCCATACAATGTGACTCTCTCGCTCTCTCTCTCTCTCTCTCTCTTTCTTTGCGTGTGTGTGAGAAACAGTGCTCCCAGCACACAACAGCAAGTCGTGCGCCTTCACACTAGAGTTTACGGTACGTCAAATACAGGTACACTGCGCATCCATCGAGATTAATTGAAAAATAGCACAGATCGCTTGACGGAGAGCGAAACTCTGAAACGCTCAGTCAGAGTGTTCGGCGAGTGTAAATATATCTAGGCTAAACTTATACTCAGCCTCCAACTCACACACTGGCGAGTAAAATCTAAGAATTTATTAGCCATTGGCTAATATTATACATCATTTAGTCGCCCAGAGTGAAGATTTAGTCGCATATGCGAGTGATTTACTCGCAATGTAGAGGGTTGGACTTTACCGGAGAAGTGTCACCTTTCTCGGCGTCTGTTCTGTGCAGTGAGCGGCAGAGTTAAGCAGCGCATTTAGTTGGCCACACCGCAGCCGACTCGTCAATAAATGAGTACAAAACAGCGTTTCCATGCAACATCAAAATACCGTGATATACATTTTTGGTCATACCGCCCAGCACTACTTGAAATGCAGTCCAGGAAATAAAACCGCTCCGGTGTACGACTATTCAGTTAATTCTGCCAGCTTGTGTCCAGGTCACATCTCTGACCTTTTGATACTCTGCTTTGGTGGCATTATTGCTATATCATTTACAATCATCTTTTTTTCTGGTTCCAGACCTTCAATTGTTTACCTTTATTAATAAATATTAAGCAAATTCAGATAGATATTTACTTAATTCTGAGAGGTAGAATTGCATTTTGAAGTTACTTGATTTTATTTTTGACATTTTACCTTGTGAAATGACATTGCTGTTTAATTTGTAGAGTGTACTTGCAACAAACTCTGAATGATACAGTTGGCCGAAAAATAGTGGTGGATTTCCTTGGATTCAATTGGAACTGGATTAACAAACAGCAAGCTAAACGAAACTGGGGACCGCTGACCTCAAATTTGCTGCTCATAGGCATGGAAGGTACAGTTTCAGTGCAACTTATTCTCTATCTAATTTATTGGCATTATTAGTTAAAATATAATGATTGGCTTTTCCCTCTTGAAAATTGTCAAACATATTCTTTTGGACTGTCCCGGTTTTAATGCAAGTAGAAATCTCTGTTATGAAGTTAGTTCACTTAAGGACTTTTTCAGTAACATTTTGCCTGAAAAGGTTTTAGAATTTTTCATATGTTAAAGGGGTCATATGATGTTGCTAAAAAGAACATTATGTTGTGTATTTGGTGTAATGCAATGAGTTTATTCTGTTTAAGGTTAAAAAAACACATTATTTTCCACATAATGTACATTATTGTTGCTCCTTTATGCCTCGCCTTTCTGAAACGCGTCGATTTTTACAAAGCTCATCGGTCTGAAAAGTGAGGTGTACGCTAATTGGCCAGCTATCCAGTGCGTTGTGATTGGCTGAATACCTCAAGCGTGTGATGGAAATGTTACGCTCCTTAACATACTGTGATGTTGGGGTCGACCGATTATCGGCCTGGCACCCTCTGAGAGTCACTTCATGAGCATTTGACAGTTTCATTTGAGTAAAACTATCGCAGTATTTCCCACAGACTTGCTATTGATTTGTGGCGGTATATATATGCAAACTCATTCTCTGGCAGGGAAGGCAGTTTTTGTCAGGGCCCTTGTTATTCTTAATTTTGACATTAATTTTCATTTTTACACCAGATATATATATCGGTTCCAAATATCGTTTATCAGTCTACTTGATCTGTAATAATCGGTATCGGCATCGGCCCTGAAAAACACATATCGGTCAACCCCTACAGTGTGATGCCATCTCCCGGCACGACGAGACAAAACCAATAAAACCCAATACAAACGGAAGCATTTGTTGCATCCAGTGGGGACATAATTACTAGGGGTGGGAATCACGATACATGGCTCACGATACGATAATATAGCTATATAGCGATTCTGCGATAATTGATATATTGCTAGACAATTCTATAATGATACATCACGATATCTGTCTAACTATGAAAACAAAATGCCTGTGAAAAGGTTAAGTGCAAGTTTTCTCTCTTTATTCAAGTCCAAACTGATAGAAAACAGTTCTGTAAATCAAATTTAACATGTTAATTAAATTAATCATTTTATTCTTGGACTTATTAAAAGCTTACAAATATCTTTGTGTGTAAACCAACACATTTAGCTGCTTATCAACTTTATATATAGCCTATATATAAACCTGGTACATTTCAAAATTTACCTGGAGTGCTTTCTCAGCCTTTTCTCTCCTCTCATCATAAAAACGGATCCCCGCGCACATGACATGCAGGGGGGGAAAAAGCCATTCACATCGCGTCTTTTGCACGCTCAGGTTCGTTATTTCAAATGTAGACGCGTATGGCGTTATTTTACTGACAAATGTCGAGAACGCATTATTGTAGTGCGAAAGCACATTAATACAATACGCGAGCGCGAATCTCTCCACTCGCGCGCGGATTTCCTTTGCTCTCGCACACCTGGAGTGTTTTCTCAACCTTTCCTCTCCTCTCATCATAAAAACGGAGCCCTGCGCACATGACATGCAGGGGGAAAAAAAGCCATTCACATCGCGTCTTTTGCGCGCTCAGGTTCGTTATTTCAAATGTAGATGCGCGGCAAGCACACACTGCACACTTCTGTGCCGCATTACGGCTCTGACGAGGTTTTGTTTCGTCGTCCATGCCATAGGTGCAGATGTTTCTGCCGGTCGGTTCCCTAACGCGCACTTGTGATATCTGAGAGAGAGGGAGAGCATCCAGTTTTGTTGACTTAAAACTGGACGCGCCGGCGCCGCTCTCTCTCACTCATATAAGTGAGGGAAATTCACCTGCGATCCGAGCAGAGAGGTTCGGCAACTCACGGACTCAATATGCGCTCTGCAATAATAACGTGATCGATACCTACAGTCCACGCTGATAGCTGTTCCGGGGCAGTTTTTTATCTCCATCTCCTTTTATCTCCATAAACGTATATAGAGCAGTAGAGCTAATACAGTGGCTGGAAATCTGTTTATCCTTCGGTTCCTCGTGCTTCCCCATCTTCATAGAGAACGCAGTTCATGGTTGCTCAGAGCACTTTGGAAAGAAGGTGGAAATGGCGCAGCTGCGATTTCCACGCATTTTTTAGATGCTGGGAGCAGGGGAATCTATATAGAGCGCCTTATTGTAGTAATATATTGTAGTATTGTATTGTAGTAAAATATCGATATTTGGCGCCAGATATCGATTCTCGTATCGCATGGAGAAGGACAACGATATATCGCCATATCGATATATTGTCCCACCCCTACAGTCAAGTTCTTCCACACTGACTGAATCAATAATTTCTTTTTGAACCTTGCCTTATACACAGAGGCATTGTCATGTTAGAATAGAAAAGGGTCCTATCCAAACTGTTGCTATAAAATTAGAAGCACACAATTCCCTAGAATATCATTATATGCTTTTACA